TGCTCTACCATACACTTTAAGGAGGATGTAAGTACGGTTTTTTTTTAAATTGGTTTTAATATAATTTTTATGTTTTGGGTAGTGGAAAATGTGTAGCAAACATCGTCTCATATTGTTGAACACTGTTCGAGCGTTTATAATCGATTTTTTTTTTTTACTTTTAATGCCGCATCTCCACTAGGCAATGGAATGAAAACAGATTTGTACAGTTTAAAAAAATGGCATTGTCATTAAAGATTTTGTCATTTAATGTCCAGTTGAAAACTTTTAGGAATTTTTTCGACGAATTTTCAGAATTTGTTCTGTTTTTTTTTAACGAATTCCAAGGATCTTTTGGCAGTTTTTGAGATTTATCTGAACTTTTTGGAATGCATCCGAATTTTTCCGGGACTCTTAAGCTCACCGTTACTTATCTTCTTGAATTTGAGAGTAATCGGTATATTCAAAATTCGGCGGTTCATTACAATCTTAGCTTTGCTTTTTATGAATACCAGCACCAATGCTGAGGAATAAATTCTAATGAAATTTGGTTAATGGCACTACATACATATATCAATTCACCTTTTTTTGTGTTCTGACACCCTTCCCCCTCCGAAATGTAGCGTCTCCGATGATAAGTTGTTAATAACCAGGCAAAATGAGCTTTGAAAAAAGGCAAAAAAAGACAACATTATTTTCAAATTTTGTTAGGTACTGCATTTATTTTACAATGTGCATGACCAATTAAATATTTAAAAAAATACATACAGTGGTCAAAAAATTATAGTCGAACCACTTTTTGCCAAGTTTTAACGTATTATTTTTTGTTGTTATTTAATTTTGGTTATTTTGTTTATAAAAAATATAGTTCATTCTTTAACAAAACCCGTGTAAATTCAAGTTTCCAACTTTGTGCAATATTAAAAAAAAAATTCAACAAACTTTCGTACAAATTTCGAGCTTTTTTTAAATTCTAAAAAATCAACCGTAATTTTTAGCCATTTGAAACTTGTACTTTATGCTACTAGAATACAATGGGCTACAAAACTGCATACTCAGAATCTAATTAAAAATGGAAATTTTTACGAAAGGGCACGAATTTCAACCCTGTTTGTGCTAAATATTTTATTTTTATCATTATTTTTCTTTTAATAAAACTATGTTGAAATAAAAGTGAAAATAAAAAAGTATTTTGTCAGAATCGTTTACCACCACTAACAACTTGGATACAGCGACTGCATTTAAAACTTTTTAAACTCTTTAAGGGTATTCGCTTTTAGGATTTGCTTGTAATGAACTTTCGAATTTTAAGTCGGAGATTTTATTTTCGTGAGCAAAGCCATTAGTGGCTGAACACATTTCGCACAGTGTACATACATACATATGTTGGGCATCAAAATGACTTGCGTTATACGCAGCGTTGAAACTTCTGTAAACTGCCCCGGCAAAGCCACCCCCAAACGAAGAAAGAAAATCTTCACAGCAGTTGTTGCACTGTACAATATGCAACATCAGCTACGACATACATACACTAACAACAAAAGTCATTCATTCAATATGTTCGCATTGGTCACAGTTGCTGTTGAAAGCTATTGCCAGTCGTGGCTGAGTCAAACTGTCAGTTTAGGAATTTTAATTAAAATTTTAACTTGACTTATTGCCAAAATGTAAGCGGGGACGCACGGCTGACTTTGGTCCCAACAAGAATTTAGCACACACGATCTAAGCGTATGTTGTTGTAGTCGTAACCGCTAAGTAGTTAGTGAAAATAAATATCACTAATATTTCACATTTTTCGGAACAAAAAAATTGCAAATTCTTTAAAGCTCCATCTAATATTACATATAAGTACAGGTACATAAAAAATGTGCATGTATGTATGCATACACACACAGCCTCCAGCATATTGCGCACTTCATAATCCCCTTAAGTAAATAGTCTGACAGCCTTGAGAGGAATTACAATTACAACTACAAGCAGCGGAATCAACATGAAAAGCGCATTAAATGCGTGTGAATTCCAAATCTGCTGCGAAAATGCTCAATTCTCGACACACACACACACACACATATACACACACGGTATACTCGTTTTCGCCCACTTCCGGTCCGGTCACGCGCTAACACTTTCGCTTCCACAGATATTTTACTCGCCACCGCACTCAACTGAGTCTAATCGCCCCACTACTGCTCTCTTTCTCTCTCTCTTTCTTTTATTTCCCCACCCGCAGGGTCTATTGATTAGCTGTAATCAGATGTCAGCCGAGTATCTTTTCATGACCGACAAGCAGTATGACATCAGCTACGACACCGGCGACAAGGTCATCCAGTGCGGCCGGCACAACGATATCTTCAAATTGTGGCTACAGTGGCGCTCCAAGGGCAATGAGGGATTCGAGCGTCAGCAGGACCGTTTAATGCAACTTGCTGAGTATCAAGTGAAGCGCATCAGGGAGCAGTCAGATCGCTTCCATCTGATACTCGAGCCAGAGTTGGTGAATGTTTCTTTCTGGTATGTACCAAAGCGTTTGCGCGGCGTTCCACACGATAAGAGGAAGGAAGCTGAATTGGCAAAGGTAAGATCAAGATTTTCTTTCGGCTTTAAAGGAAGCAAGGGTATTATGGCGTGTCTAAGCAGAAGATCAAGCCATGACTTCAAAACAAACTAAAATTTGGTTTAATTTCAAAAATTGTTTAACCATCATCGCTTTGCAGATTTGCCCCGTCATCAAGGGGCGCATGATGCAGAAGGGTACATTGATGGTCGGCTATCAGCCAGACGATCGGCGGCCAAATTTCTTCCGTTCGATCATCTCGTCTGCCGCAGTCACCGAGCAGGATGTTGATTTTATGTTGGAGGAAATGCATCGGTTAGGTGACGACTTGTAAAGGAACACACACACACTAAATGATCTGACGCCGCTGGTTCAGCTCACTTACATACATACATATGTATATGTATGTATGTATGTGACTGTACAGTTGCAATCCAAAGCAGAGCTACAGGCTGGGCCCTATGGAAGGAGGTGGAGGTGGAAAAAAACAGTTCAATTAACGAAAAATTAAGCAGACGAAAAACGCAAACAAGCAACAAAACAAAAAAAAAAATGTTAGAAAATATTAGAAATTATTATTTAGCAAAAAATCTACATATATCAACCAAGAACTATCTTTAAGGTAAAAGCATATCAAAAGAATGTTGTTGGCGCTCAAGTGGCGCATCCATTTTCATTATACATTTAGTGACTATATACATATACTATATAGTTGTTATCATTATGATCAGATGTATACTCACGCACTTAAGCACTTAAGCAAGTACATACATACATATGTACATATGTACTTGTGCGCTGTCAAGTTTGTTAAGTATTAACGAATTCTTTTTAATTAACTGTTTTAACTGTTGTTGTTATTGTATGCCTGAGACTTTAATCACTGTTTCGTTTCGTTTCGCTAAACACGAGATAAACTATATTTAAAAATAGGAAAAATAAACTTATACATACTCGGTAAGTTTAAAATGTATACATTCTAATAAATCGCAGGCAGAGCAGGTGGAAAGAAGATGGAAATGCAGATGGAAATGCAGCTGGAGATGGGATGGATAGCGAAGAGGAGCACATCTCAAAAGAGCATCGATAAATCCCCGACCTCGTTGTCAATTACATTTAGTCAGACGGTGCAAATGCCGCACAGAGTCTGCTCGCACAATTGTTCGTGTGAGTGTGAGTGTTCTGTAGGGTCAATTGCACCAGACAGCAGTAGAAAATTAAAATTAACTACGCACATTCATATAAATATAAATATGTACATACATATGTAAATGAAATAGGAAAAAAAAACTGTATGTACATACATATGTACATACATATGTAGTACAGATAATTAGCTGCATATTTACCTAGTACATGCATTTACATATACATACATACTACATATGTTCCATTTAGTGGCGAAAGTCATTGAAAAAATGTGTAAATTTTGAACTAACTATAATAAAATAAATAAAATTTGGTTGAAAGAAGAAATTGGAAGAGAAGGCAAGTATACATAGTTGTAGTGGTATAAACTCATCATACAGACAGCATGCAGCTGATGAAAAGCCAACAAAAAAAATATATCTTAACGAATACGCTTTGGACTGTTATTTGAAGAAAAATAAAAAAACAAAAAGTTTACATACAAACATACAAATATATATGTATATGGATCAGATATAATTATAAAAAATTTAGTATTTAATTAAAAATGAGTCAAAGTAAGCCACACAGAACACAATCACCACCACCACCACCACCGCCATTACTTATCACCCACCAAGGCATACACCCGCACAAAGCGCCGCCCGCAACCCAGCGGCATTTGTGACTCGAGCACACGAAAGGCTTTAGCTGAGCTGAGAACTGAACGGATCAGCGAAGCGCGCTTAGAAAATTAATACATGCATTTTATTGCGCACATATGTGTGTACATTAGGGTGGTCCAAAAATGTATGGGAGAAAAGTAAAATCGGAAATTTAATGCTCTCACCCCCTAGGATTGTTCTATACCGAAAAAAAGTATACCCCTGTTTTTTTATTTTAAAATCAAAATATATTTAGAGGTCGCTCAACGCGCTCAAAGTTTCCCATGTATTTTGTATGGGGAAAAAAATACTTTTCGTAGAAATAGCATAGAATCCATGAAAATCAAAATTTTTTCATTCTGAAAACTCTGCTTCTCTTCAGAGGACTTCAGAGAATTCGGCCCAATTGTTTATTTAAACATTTTTTAATTTTAACTATTTTTCTTTTTTTCTTTTGTATATTTCTTTTTGTATATTTGATTTTTTTTTTTGGGGATATTTCGGAGACCCCTAAAAAATAGTTAAAACTAAAAAATGTTTAAATAAACAATTGGACATTATTCTCTGAAGTCTTCTGAAGAGAAGCAGAGTTTTCAGATTTAAAAATTTGGATTTTCATGGATTCTATGCCATTTCTACGAAAAGTATTTTTTTCACCATACAAAATACATGGGAATCTTTAAGCGCTTTGAGCGACCTCTAAATATATTTTGATTTTAAAATAAAAAAACAGGGGTATACTTTTTTTCGGTATAGAACAATCCTAGGGGGTGAGAGCATTAAATTTCCGACTTTACTTTTTTTTGGACCACCCTAGTGTACATATGTATGTAAATCAAAAAAGTCCTGGTCTCTCTGCGCTTACAAGCGCGCTGCTCAGTTCATTTTCCAGCACAGCTTCAAGCCCTCCTATACCTGCGTGACCTTAGGAAGCTGGAGCCGAGGATACATACATACATATGCGCGCATTTTGTCATCGCTATTAAAATCTGGTCTAAGGCTCGCTTTATTAATTCGCAGAAGTACGAATTTGCATAATTCCATTATGCTTGATTGTGTGGACACATACATACATACACACATACACACATACATACTCGTGGTACTCATACGAACTTTGTTAGACAATATTTACAATTTCCTTCGAATTAAATGTTTCGTCCATTTAAACAGTTCAATTTGCTCACATTACATACTACATACATAAATGTTATATAATGTTCAAATAAAAGAAAGAATAAATTTAGCAAATTTAAGAGTATTCAGGCAGATTTGGTAATACGCCTCCGAGTGAATTTCAACCAAAGTCACTTCGAATTCAAATTGTATGGCGTTGAAATTCAGTCGGAAGTGAATTGCAGAACCCGCCTGTATGTATTTTATTTGAGAAATTTCTTATTTGTTCCAAACAGCATTGTGGATGAAATATGAAAATCTCTTTAATTTAAATTTTATAATTTGATTGCATTTTCGGTTTAATTTTTGAACTGGGATGTCTGTGGAAGAAAGAAAGGAAGAAGAGAAATTTGTATCAATAGGTTATATTATAATTTTCACAGAAATAAGTTGCCGAAAAAACAATCCACTTGTCATCGATGACATTCTTGGTTTTAGAGACTTATTTGTAAATATATTTTCCATACTTTGCAAAATTATCGCACAAACAAAATGTTTACATTTACATACAGTATTTTTCAAGTTTTCAAATCAGTGCAAAATTTTTTTTTTTTAAGTTTTATATTTTTTCCCTGGAGCTTGAGAGACATTTCCAAGAAAGAGAGAAGTTTCATTCGTAGGTTTAAGATTAAAAAAAAAATATTTTTTGAGTAAATTTGTTCGTCAGTTTTAGGCCCATTTTTGGAGTTATTTTTGGTATTCTTTTTATTTTTTTTTGTGTGTAAATTTACAACATTCTCCTGAAATTGTTAAATTGATTGCACTTCCCAACACTTAAGCAGTTTCCCCCATTTATTTACTTTTTTTTTTGTTTCTGTGAAATATTTTTTTGCAAACGCAGTTCTGGAGGTCTATATTTTTTTTTTTGCATGCCAGCCTTTATCCCTGATTATCTAAGCATATATTGTGTTTTTCAATTACATCTGTACTTACTTCTTTGAACTGTGAACACTTAAGTTCAATCCTTTTTTTAAATTTCGAAATGTTTTTGCGCAAGATATGATGACGTAGTGAGAACAAGCCTTAAGTCATTTTGCGTTAGCTTTTAAGTTCAGTTTATTATAAGAATATAACACGCAATGTGAATTTATGCAGATATATTTATGCATGTCACATACATATTTACGTATGCAATATCGATATATACATACTTATGTATGTGTGTTATATATTAGGGTGATCCAAAATAACTAACCAACCGAATCTGTGGTCTTAAATGGACCTATTTGCTGCGAAGAAAATTCTCCCGTTTGGAAAATTTTTTATTCCAATTTTAAAAGGTGTCGGTGGGCATTTGCATGTAAATTTTATGAAAAAAAATGTATTTTCACTAAAAATGCTATAGCTATTAAACCGTTAGAGATCCTCATTTATCATGAGAATAAAATTTTTCCAAATGGGGGAATTTTCTTCGCAGTAAATAGGTCCATTTAAGACCATAGATTCGGTAAATTAGTTATTTTGGATCACCCTATTGTATATGCAAGACGTTATGTACCTATGGAAAATGTTAAAGTTACCTGTGCTTATTATACATATGTACATATATATATATATATATATATATTTAGTAGTACGCTTGTCATATTTTAAATGCAGTGCAAATCGGGTTTATTTTATTTTTATTTTTTTTTGAAATTAACTAAAAACGCAAAACAAACTAAAAAATATGTCAATTAGATAAGGTTCGGCTGAAAGTAATAATTTTGATATTAGATTATTTTTTTTTTTAATATATATTTGGGGAATACATTCTAATTCCTACGGGAGCGTATACAGTATCAACTTCGAGTTAAAAGTGCTTTTTAATGTTCTTCTGTGTACAACATCAGCTTGGAGTGAAATTTCACGTTATTAATGACATGAATAAAATAAATCGTTTTCCAACTTAGAATTAGTAGAACTGAAACTTCACTCCAGGCTGATAGTTAAGTAAAAAGAAGAACATTTCAAAAAAGCAATCTGTTGGCAATCCAAGTTGGCATTGTAAACGCGCGTTTATTATTATTATTATCATAAATTGGTATACATAGAATATGGACACCTACACAAAAGAAAAAATATTATTATTTAAGAAATATTTGTTTGTACTGTTAGAAAGAAAGCTTCTTATGGTGCTTTTTATGACTCAAAAATATTTTACGCCTGCCGCTTCGATTTTTTTATTACTTCAAAAAATTATTGCACATTATTATATTATTCTTCTATGTATTTAATCCCAGAGTATGTAACTATGTAACACAGAAGGTACTGGCAAAAATCTTTAAACTAGCTAAATTGAAATTGAAATGTTGTCAAATGTGTAATTTATAGATACACAAATAATATTAAATATAAGTAAATGTTTTATTAAAGGTCGTCACATGCATATATAAATGCGTAAAAGAAAAATAATATACATACATATTTATTGTATTAAAAAAAAAAAAAAATAGATTCCATTTTATTGTTTATGTATTGTATTTCAGAGCAAATTATTAGATATATGTACATACATATATATGAATAAGAAAATCTATAAGCTACAAACTCATATTCTCCTAGTTGTGTCCTAACCAACCAAATACAATGCATATATATACTACAAAGAAATAGTTACATACATACAAACATACATACATATGTACCATTATGCAGCAACGCATTCACAAAAAAAAAATAATAATATTAACAATAAAATATACATAAATCAATAAACGAAAACTGGCAATTGGTTTTTTTACTCAAGTGCATTTTCGTTAACGTACGTATTACGTATATTTCACGTCTATGTACATATTTTTTAGTTGAGTGCACTTCAAGAATTCTGAAAGCCTCTCTCTCTCTCTCCCTCTCTCTCTCGGTAAGTGCAAGAAATAGCGAATAAGGATAACAGAAAGCAGCTGGGCCTCGAAAAATAAACGATACCCGTTAAAATTTAAGACCTATATACAAACATACATACGTTCCCATTAAAATTGTTGGCAGTACTAGGAGGCTGCTCTCATTCAACGGAGTTTAGCCAAATAAAAGTAATCGATACTAAAATCCGATGACTGGTTCAATGATGCACTGGAGAAGACTTATCCTGCATGGTTGGAAGCAATGTATAATATTAGACTAGAAATATTAATATTAAACTAAACACACTTATGTATAAGTTTGCACATGTGGTCATTTTTAATGAGTATAAACTACACCTTTTACTCCCGAGGGGCATATCCCAAAAAGCATCCCCCAAAACCCGCACTTTTAAACTCATTTTTTTCGATAACATTTATCTTGAAAAGCACGCGTTCGATTGCAGTGTATGCTCAGTTTATCAACGTGAATTTAAAAATGTTTACATGCATACCAAATACATGAACAAAAACCGACTTCTTAGGACACTAGACCCATAAAACTCAAATATAGATACATACGTACATACATACTTAGTTCAGCTTCAAACCATCCTTATGAATTAACAAAAGTGCAAGGTGCAGGGTGCACACGATAATTAATTTTTGTACACCCGTTTTTTCTGATTTTTTTGCATGATGCATTCCCGAACGTTTTATTTTGCAATTAGCGCTAAAATCCGCTTTTTATACCCGAGCGCACTTGTGCACAAGGGTATTATAACTTTGTTCACATAACGGTTGTTTGTAACAGGCAAAACGAATCGAGATAGATATAGACAAATGTATACATAAATGATCAG